TGAGTCACAAACTAGTCCGATTTTATATTCTTTTTAAAAGAGGACAAAATGGACAAAATTTCAACAATTTAAGCTTTAAAATTTATAGAGCGCATGTGTGTTCAGGAACAATATTGACATATTTCATTGATATTATCATTCTACACATTATATCAAAATATTTATCCTGAACACACATGCGCTCCTGACTTTTATTTAAAAAATACGAAATATGTACATTTTTCTGCAAAATTCATAAAAAACTGAAATTACGTCATATTTGTGACGTCATTACGTACATATGACGTCATTACTTATGAAATTATTCAGTGCTTTGAAGTCAGCATATACTCCCCTGTTTAAGGACTTAATTAAATATTACTCCATCAAAGTTTGATTTTGGGGGGCAAATGTTGGTTAATACCGCATATAGTTCTTTAGCGATAAACGCCACGAGTTAATCTTTGCGCCTTTTCTTTGGAATGTTCTATTAAATAGGTGTGATATCTTCAATGAAGTTAAAAAAAAGAACGTTCTTATAGTCTATTCAAGGTTTACAAAGTATATTAACACATTTTACAAATTCCATATTGTATATATGCATTTAACACTAAAGCGGTAAAACAGTTATGAATTTTTAATTTTTTTAGTTTCCTTTGTATCCCCAAAGTGAACTATCCCGATTTTCGAAAAAGGTTGAAATGTTTCGCCAAAAAAACATGGCTCCTTACAGCGGTCATGGAATATATCATTCTTGATCAATAACTCTAAAGAATTGAAATAAACTCCATGAAGCGATCTTTTAAAAAAAACATCTTATTTTTGTCTTATTTATTAGTTTAATATGACACAACTGTGCATAGGAAAAACAGTTGTTAAGATTTATACTTAAAATATTAATTGATATTCTTTTTTGAGAAAGCATTACTTATAAGCATGATTAAAGATCTGTTTTCCATGGTGCACAAAAGATATTAGGCGTCGAATTTCCTTTGCACACTTAGTCTTTTACCAATTATGATGACACAGAATGCAACAAAAATTTTGACAATCCAAGTATTCCTTTACATTTCATTTATCCTTATGTTATTTTTCGTTCAGCGAAATGTCGGCGTTGACAAGAAGCCGCCAATCAGATTTCTGAATGCTAATATCTAGAGTTTAGATTTATCAACATTCAAACAAATTAAATAGTAAGCATTATAAGGAGGGTTTCTATTAACATACCAAAAATAAATGAAAAACTGAAAAACAAAAAAGTTAGAAAATACGATTTTTTAAAATTTGCATCTCGTAACAACCGGAAGTACTGACGACGCACGAGAAGGTGATTCCGCAAACCACAAAGTGACAAACTATCGTCTCCAATAAGTCTCCAGGTCATATCTTTAGCTATTTTTGAGAAAAAGGGGCGACAAAATCGCATTTTAAAATCAGGAAATCGTCCATAACTTGGCACCACAAGTGAATTTTCCAAATTTCTCTTCGGATGTATTAACTTCATATAATGACACATATTTTGTGAAAGTTTCATGAAAAACCGCTGAATAGTTTTCGAGAAATCGCCTGCACAAAATTTTGTCAAAAAAAAGAATAATAATAATAAGAATAATAAGAAACAGTAGAATCACTATAAGGTCTTCCGTGAAGACGGAAGACCTTAATTATACCAATCCAGGCAACCATTTTTTTTTGTTTCTATAATATGTCAAACGAATCTTGTTTCTTTTATCTAAACATTACATTTATTGCAACTATTATCTCGTATTTTGCAGGAATGGGTGATATGGCTGTCTCCAATTCTTTAGGAAGTAATGTATTTGACATTCTCTTAGGATTATCGTTACCATGGTTTTTAAAAACTGGCATAGCTTATGCTGGAACAACAGTAAGTGTTACTTTAAAAAGAGTTTTATGATCCTTCACCATATTACATTTCATAAAAAATTAAGTTTTACGGAGCATATTTCATTGCTTTTTGAGCTATTTTATTGAGATTCTGTGCATTGTGGCGTACTGTATACAATCTAGTTTGTGTGCCATGGGAAATTGACAATATTTTCAGATATTCAGACGGAATACTAATTTACTAGGATGTATAAAAAGTATGTTCTCCGGAAATTTATTGGTTAATCTTGATCGTTTTTAGACATTTAATCAATATTCAGGATGATTTATATTCCAGAGTTGTATATGACCTTTATCAAGTATCAGTATATCCTTACCATACTTTATTGATATATATGTACTATTTGTACATGTACAGCGTTTGTTGACTTAAAGTCGATAAAAATAATGATTTACCAAACATTTTTAGATTTTTTTAAATTCGACTTGCTATCATCTAAAAATTTGCAAAATTTTCGGAAATTGAAGATATCATTTATTTTTTCCATTTCTTTGGTAAAGAATTATTGTATATTATCTTCATAATGTTTTCTCCAACAAAAATTACATTTTTACAATGTGATTTAAAAGGCCTGCATTTAAATTATTTTCATTATTTAAATGATTAACCTTGAGTATTTGTTAGTTCCCTCCTTACGTTTTACATAAAATATAAAAACAAGGGGTTTTATAATAATTTGCAAGTTTTTCTAATTGTGGTTTACTCAATGAATTTATTAATAAAGATTTATAATTAGGAGGCTTACTAACAAGGAACAAGCAAACACTGAAGCAAATTGTTATATGGTTCTTAAAGCCGACTGTTTTCAGTCTTGAATGTCATATTGTGTTCTTTTTCATTGTAGGTACACATCAATAGCAATGGAATGGTTTTCTCCATACTACTTTTATTTCTTACAGTAATTATTCTAGTGAGTATAAACTGAAAACTATACTGAATAAGAAAAATTAATTTTGTAGGAAATGGCACTTTAATCCATAGCGCTTTCAAAAACCCTAGGGATTAAAGTCTTCTACGAAATCTTCATCATTTTTTTTTCTACTACATATATATAAATACATTCCTGTTTTTATATTTAGTTATAAATAAGATATTTTCCTTACAGGTTGTCGCTTTAAAGTACACTCGCTGGCGACTGAACCGGAGGGTGGGGGCTCTTTGTCTGTTGGTTTATGCTATATACATCCTTTTTTCTGTCATGATTGAGTGCAACGTGTTTGGGTTTGTCAACCCTCCTATGTGTGATTAATAAGGTGTCATATTCTAGTGCAACAAGAAATAAACTAAATAAATATACGTTTGATGTAATGCATGAAACCGTGTATTATACATTTTTTTCTATGTACATGGTATGTATACATCTACAGTAATATTTCTGAATTTTATTTCAAGGACAAAAATGTGCAAAACTTTTCTATACTTGTGAATCTTGAATCTAGAAAATTTTAGATGTTTGGAAAAATGTCGACAGAGGGTTTGCAGTGTATCAAATTTAAGTTCTCTAAGCTTTAAAACAGTCATCAATTTTTCTATTTGTACTCGCTTAATGATCCTATAATGTTGACAGAATGAGATTGAACGTTTGTATTCATTATGAATTGATATTCATCATGAATTTTAAGGAAATCAATAAATTGGTTGGCATATCCATCTTCAAGACTAGTCTATTTTCTAGAAGATTCAAAGAATAATTATCAAATTAAAAGCTGTTTGGCCAATAAATTTGCCAATGAATCGATGTTATTTTGTAAATTTATTGAGGTTGCCTTATAGGTCACCTGGCATCATATGCTCTGCTCCATCAAGGTTAGGGTCGATTGTGTGATAACGATGAAGCGGTGGTGCGTTGACGATAAACGATGGTGCAATAGCGCCATGAGGCGATGGCACGACAATAAGGTGACGACGGGAAGATGGCATGATGAAGCGATGACATAACAGCGATGACACAAGGGTGTGATAACGATGGGGTAGTGGTAGGATAACGATGAACAGAAGTTGGAATAGGTGACACTGACAGTAAATTGTTTACGACAATGTAAGCGCAGTTTAGAGACACCACCATAGTGAATGTATATCTACAACAGCAGAGGATTTTAAGCCCCCACCTGAGCTGGTTTGTTATAAAACAGTTTCAGTGTCCTGGAAAATTTTCTTTTAGGTCGTTTTAGCGATTCCAACTGCTCTTCAACATTATAACATCGCTTCGTGATATCACCCCTACGTCGTTGCACTGTTGTGCTATTGCATCATGATATCTTGTTAAAATAATCTCTTATTTATTTTTATTTAAGAGATAAAGCGAAAAAAGTAAACAAAATTTAAAAAAAAATAAAATATCCTTAAAAAACACATTTTTAAAAAATAGTTAAGGAAATTGATATTTGCATCATTCACGACCAAATCAAGTCCAAACATAAATATCAAGAATCCAAAAATATAAATGAATCCCGATGATTTGTTGATGCAAGTGTCCTTGACTTGTGAATCAATAGCCTCCTCTACCTATTTTAGTTGTTTTATGTAGTAGTTGCGATTTCTGGTCAACACTGTTAAATGAATGATGCACGTAGGTTTATATTAAAAGAAAAACATAAGCCATATTTGTCCCAAAGAAGTGCCAGGGGACATCAAGACTAGCAGTCCTACGTCACACTATCAATCTCCCGGCACATGGCGAGGCTTGATTGCACGAGTTATAAATAAAAACTTTCTCCATTCACTGAACACCTACACCTTACACAGGTAAGCCATTGCCTCATAAAACTCGACAATGTGTACAATATTTCGTAACAATTATTAAAAATGTGTTGGACTTTACTAAAATGTATTTGCATGTGCATTCATTGAAATAAGGTGAATGAAAAATTAAAAAGAGACTTTGGGTTATTAAAAAAGTTTTTTTTTTTAAAAAAAAAAAGGCCATTCAGTAATTTTCAAGAAACTTGCATGACTTTATTAATTTTCAAAAATATTAAAAGAACATCAGTAAGGATCATACAAATGCTCTATTTGTTTATCAGAAACATTTCTTTCCTAATAAAAGTATTCGATGCGTGAAATATTCTGAAGTGACCGGTGATTGTTTAAGCCAAGGAGAGGTCACGATAGAGATTAAATAATGACGACTGAATTACGTACTTCATCGTGAATATAGTTGTTTCGCGTAGCCAATTGATTAATCATAAATTTGAACGGAAACAGAAAAGTTTCTCACATAATATAATGATTACATATCATTTTTTTCACTTCAGACATGAACATTCGAAGTATTCTAATTGTGTGTTTTTTGGGAGTAGCATGGTTTGACAGTTCGACATCTCAACCTTGGGGAAGAGGACAAAACAGACAAAAGTGGAACAACAGGCGGTTTTTTAAGAAGGTTGAAAGAAGAATTAAGAATGGAAGACAAGTATTTTCTCCAAGAGCACTGGGAATGATAAGAAATGGATGGGGAAAGAAAAATATTCACAATAAATTGAATAAAGCTTTTGGACTGTGTGATATACCAGACCAAGATGTAGTTAAAAATATGTTCCCGGGATTATTTCAGTCCATCGACGATATCTATAGACTTCCCGAGATGCAACAGAATATTGCAAAGACGTCAACTGTTGACAAATTAGAAGAACCGCCAGCAATTCGTAATTGGCAGGCTCTACCATCCAGACGAGTTCGTATTCCCAAAACAGTAACTATTTTATCTTCCGGTGATTCCGGTCCTCAGAATAGGAGTTTTAGTCGGACCGGAAATCTATGCGATTGTTGTAAAGTGTAAGTAAGAAAGCGTAATGTTTTTCCTGTCATTGGTAGTTCAACACTCTACTGTAAATCATAGTTACTGTGTATACATTGCTTTTTACATACATACTTACATACAAAGCTGTAGACAAAACCTCAAATAGGTTTATTTTAATCTTTTTTCAGAGATCGGTACTTTGAGACTTATGACAATGTGACAGTCGGAGGCATTTCTTACGAAGTCATCCGTATTCCAAATGAGGATCAATTTTTTGCCATTGAAAGATGTCCGTAAGTCCATTTCTCATATCTGATGTAGAATTATTTATTTCTTAATATATTGTGTGCCATTTAGGTTTTATTTGTTTATTCTAATTTAAACATTCCCTCTTTTGTAGAGAAAGCCCCAGGTGTATTTACGGAGGCTGTATACAGAGGTACACACGGCAGCCCATCCTTATTTGGAACGACACAAAACCCTATTATCCTCCGTTAGATTTTGCCCAGTTTGATTTCCCCACCCACTGCGAGTGGGCTAATATTGGACAGTGAGAAAAATCGATAATTATTGAGGTGTTTTATATATAAACATGGTGCCAAACACAACATAGATCCGCGTAAAAAGGTAGAGTAAGAGATGACAAATATGATCATACGATGTGTTGGTATTTAAATGTACCGAGTAAAGTGAAAGGCGAAAAGTTGATGATTTTAACTGTTATTGTTATTGTTTTGGGTTGCTGTCTACGATATTCTCTATCTTATTAAGTGTCTAAGATACACTCATGATAATGCATAGATACCAATTCTAGAGTTGTACGACAACGTTTGGTTTTTTTAATTATTTATTTCATCATGTTTGATTGTTGATTTCTTACTTTTCTAGTTCTGAATGCTCGTAGTAGTTCATAAGAAAATCACATTTTTTACAACCTTTAATATAAAACATCAACTTCCTATGGTTCGAAAAGAGAACATTAATTGCGCCGAATTAAGAACTTACTAAAAAGGTATTTTTTAAAGTAATTATAAATTAACAATGTTAAGTAATGTGATTGGATGAAAAATATACATTAGCATGTCTAAACCTGTACATTACGCGTTTCGTGTACCGCAATTATTTTCTTTTCCTCGAAATGCATGATGTAGGGGAAAAATTATGCATAAGGCAGTTAGTGTTTATGATGAATCATTAAATGCCCTCGAGTGTAACTATCCTATTGATTAAGATGTTAAATTTATTGCACTAATGATGATGTATATTTAAAATTTGAGGATAAATAAATTGACTAAATATCGTGTGTTGTTTATGATTCTAGTTAATTTTTTTAAAGCAAAAAATATAATTAAATATATACATCAAAGAAGACTCCTATAAAACAGCAAAGAAATACAGGTATACTTAAAGAGGTATACACCCAAGAAAACTCCGATTTTTTTTAGAAGTACAAAATGCATTTCCAGTGTGATCGGAACACATTTTTCATTGTTCTTCAGTGTAACAAAGCACCTCAAAATTTAGAATGACGTCGATAGATTTTTTACAGGATAGAGAAAGACTTCTTGAAGTTCTAGCCAATTTACAATTATATGCGAGAAGTGCTCGGGGAATTTCTATTGTCATACTCACCAACAAGAATAGACAAATTTTGATCTAAATATATTAACTTTTATAAACTTTGGCATATAAAAATATGCAAACCGACCTTTTACAATTGTTTAAACATTGAGGGTTTCTTTGATATCTGATATTTATTGAAATGTATTTAAAGAATAGCGTCATTTTCACTGTTTTAAGAAGACAATATTCCTAAGTGATGACCTCAATAAATAAATTTTTACCGTTTTAGGAAATTTTTAGTCTTTGAGTTGTCTGTGTTTTATTCACTTTAGAAAATTCATTTTAGACATCCACTGTTTAAAAAATTAACTAAGCTTACTAAATACTTTGTTCTATAGGAATTTTAAGACTCAGAAATTCTAATACGCCACCGTTTTGCCAAAAATATATCTTTGCTAGATTTCAATCTTATAGTTACCCGTTTCTATTCAAAAATGAACAATTACGATTAGGAAAGAAAAATATGCCCAGTTGATTCATTTAGTCAGAAACAAGACAAGAATCCCTCAGTAAAGTAGAATTTATTACTGAGCTTGAGACGATGATTGGAGAACAGAAATTGGAAAACGTCAAACCATGTGTAAATGTACATTATTCTTAAACACTCTAGAGGTTACTACATACAACATACGTACTATAAAAGTTATTACATTCCACTGTAACAAAAAGTTTTATCTTACCCTATAAAGAGACTAACTATATTTTATAAGAACTACCCTCACTAAAGTAACATTTACGACAACTTGGTCACAAATTAATTACAATGTATACCATGAGGTTAAAAAAAAGGTTTACATGTAATGCGTTCAGTACTTCAGTATTATTACAAAAGAACATAGAAGACTAATATCTATGAAAAGCATTTTCACTACTAAATATGAATATGAAGATAATGAAAAAAAACCTTTCTAATGAAAAAATCCAGTAAGGAATGCAATAACCAGCATTAACACAATTGCGTTGACATTGAGAAGAATTTTTGATTTTCGACCCTGGTGAAGAAATTGTCGTCGCTTCTGTACAAGAAATTCTTCTATCTGATGTACGTCAGTGTGTCCGAAAAGAAAGGTAAGGATTTTCTGACAAACAGTCTTATCTTCCACTTCTCCATCTTCTTTTTCTTGAAAATGGAAATGTGTTCAGACTTGAGAATTGTGACACTTACCTCTAATTAACTTTTTCTGTCTGGAATCTCAACCACAGAAAAAAATAGGATTGAAGATTTTTATCCTCTTAACCGGTTACTCGGTAGAAGCCATAGTAATCGGTTAGTCGAAAATATTAAAGTATTTGAACAATCCCAAAAATCAATTTAATAAGAAAAATTAGCACAATTTTAGCATTTTCACTTATGTATTAAAGCTAATATCAAGTTAATTAAGGATCTCCAGATTGATATCGATAGGTAATTGGCCAGTTTAAGAGATGTTTATTGCTGTTTTTGGTTCCAAAGATTGTCAAAGCCGAGGGGAAAGGCAATGGGGTTAAGCTCCCATTGTCTATAAAATGCGTTTAATGGTATGCGCCTCCAATAGCCTCTTGCAACCAAGTCCAGCTCCTAGCCTGCTCGTATGACTTTCATCAAGTCCGGCGAAAGTGCTACTCATGATAGGAGAAGGAATGAAGTCGAGTCAGTCAGTCTGGGAAGACACCTTATCTAAGCGAAAGAAAACTGAGATTCCAAATCTCGGCTGCCTTGCGGCCAATGATGGAAATAGTGGAAAAGGGTAGGTGAAGAGGAAAACTCATATAAAACCGAATGGGCGGACTGTACTCAACATTCAGGGAAGAAAAGCAGTCTAGATAGGAAATTCCTAAATCAAACCACGTATTCGAGAGGATATTCGAGGTTTGCGTGGGGCTACATTGTAACAATCCTGCCTATAAAAAATGTTACAGGAGCATCAACGACAAACGAAACCATATAACCTGGACCAGATTGGATTCCTACTTCAAGGGAAACTATGATACTGTGAAATGAAAGACGAAAGTAACCTGCAGAGCTGGCTGTTGCTTTCTTACACCCAGGAAAACCATCAAATTCGCTACTTGAAACATCATTGCAATGTAGGAAGCTGAAGAACAACACAGGTAGCAAATGAGATTTTACAATATTTGTCTCCTTGGACTGATTGAGACGAGGTGGCTATAGACAGGAAAACTGAGGCTGACAAACGGGAAAACACTTTAATATCCACTATATACATCGCGAAGGGAGCCCCCACACAGAAGATGTAGGCCTGATGCTATCCCTGGAAGCATGACATGCTCTTATTGGATGGGAACCTGTCAACTCCAGGACAATAAAAGCATAGTTCAACTCCAGGAAAAGAAAAATCAAACTGAACATCACCCAGTGTTATGCCCCCAACAAGACTCTGACGACGAAAGAAAGACGCTTTTGACTATCAAATAAAGGTAGTCTTCGATAAAACAAGGAGAAAAAAATCATGACAATACTCATGGGCAACTTCAATGTAAAGATTGGAGCTAACATCACTGGTCACAATAAAGTCAGGGGCACAGAAGGACTGAGCTAAATAAAAGAGAATGACAAGAGATTTGAGGACCTATGCTCCCTTTACCAGTTTGTAAAAACAGGAAGCACTTTCTCTCATAAACAAATTCATAAGGTCACATGGATATCTCCTGGTCATGTTACAGAGAATCAGGTCGATCATAATTTCATCAATAAGAATTTTTTGAAGAGCATGGAAAGATGTCAGGGTGATGAGAGGAGAAGACGTTTTATCAGACCACCATCTTCTGACGACGGTATTAAGACTACGCCACAAGTAGTTTAACAATGTGAATAATCACGAGGACATCAAGGAAATGTGGCGAGATATATGTAAAAAAAAGTCCTCGGCAAAAACACAAAGAGCGAAACACTGTAGATACCATGATGAAGTTGTATTTGAGGAAGAAAAAAGCACTGAACACAAGCCAGACAAGAGTAAAAGGATGACACAGCCACAGAAAAAAGTAAAGAAATACATTAGGAAGGATAAACGTTTTAAATTGACAACCTACCTAAACAAGCTGAAAAAGAAGTGGGACAAGAAAACTTGAGAGAACTGTGTATGATCACAAAGAAGCTCTGAAAACAAGTTCCAGCAGAAAGACAAGTCAGTGAAGGATAAGAAAGGAATCTCTTCACAACAATAGAAGAACAATTGAAGAAGTGGGTAGAACACTTTTGAGATCTCCTAAAAAGACCATCACCAGAAACATCTCCGGACATACAACCAGACGAAACAGACCTTCATATCGACTGCGACAATCCAACATAGACAGAGATCAGGAGAGCAATTAAACACACTCAAGAATGGAAAAGCGACAGGGCCCAACGAAATACAACAGAGGCCATCAAAACTGATACAGAGACAGCTGCTGACATCCTATACAATCAGTACAAGAAAACATGTAAGAGAACATTCTGGAGGAATGAAAAGAAAGCATCCTTCTTAAGCTGTCTAAGAAGGGAGTTATGAGGGACTGCAGTAATTACTGCGGGGAATTATGCTTCTGACAGTGTCTGGCAAGGTCCTCAACAGGATCCTTCTCGAGAGGATGAAAAAATGCAATAAATTCCAAGCCACGTGACCAGCAGGCGGATTATAGATGCAGCAGACTCAAGATAAATTTTAAGTTAATGAAGATAAACACCATTGCCCAAATACCAGTCACAGTTGGTGTAGAGCTCATTAATGAGGTTGAGCCCTTCAACTACCTAGGGAGTGTAATTGAGAGACAGGTACATATCTCAAGTATATAAATGGCAAAGCAAAAAGTGTTATTTACAATTCTACAGAACATCTGGCCCTCTAAAAACATCGCAACACTCGAAACTGAAGTTCGTCCTGATGTATGGTGCAGAGACGTGGAGGGTGACCAAAAACAAATCTGCAGAAGATCCAGGCATTTTGCAACACCTGTATCAGACGTATCTTAACATCCAATAGCCTGAAAGCTAGGATTATGAATGAAGAACTTTGGAAGAGAGCAGGACAGGACACTTTGGGGTGCTGAGCTCATTTTTTTAAAGCATGTATCTCTGCTTTCATTTTCTGTAAGAGATACTGCAGCCATACTCATTATCATAGATGTCTGTACCGAAAGCAAGCAGGTTGTTGATTGATATGAATGGGTGTTAAAGCAAGCAGAGGCTAGTCGTTCCCTATCAAAATGACGAACCATAAAGAAAACATTAGTTATGTAGACAGCCTCGCCCAATATGTATTTTTTCAAGGACCCCACATATTTCCGTATTACCCCTCTAAGTGTCTACATAACGAATTTATGATATCCTGTCGAAGATTTCTTAATAAAGTACATTTTTCTGAATAAGCAAATTCTTCTGTAACAATTATTTACATTGTGACGTCGTTTCATGTTTATATGACGTTAGTTATTAGGCTCTTTGCGTGTTCAAATGAAAACAACGTATTGACTATGATATGTGCAGAATGGCACGTGGAAGGGGTATATTGATTTGATTTGTGGTGGGTAGGTCTCGTGGAGGGGGCACATTAGCAATATGAGGTGGGTAGACAGCATAGTATTGATTGATACAGTATTCTTCTCGACCAATGAAATTTCATGATTTTTATCAGAGGCAGAATATATCGTTATTATGCGCAAGGTTTGGGAGATCTAGATGGGGTATTTTTCTGTG